ATATATATATATATATATATATATATATATATATATATATATATATAAACATGGTGCTGTTTCTGTTTTCCTGCACCTCTGTTTTCCATGTCGTCACCCACAGCTGATCCTTATTCTACTCACCCCAGGTGCTCCTCATTGTCTCATTAGTGTCAGTATTTAGACTGTGTGTTTTCACTCCGTCGGTATCTGGGCTTCATCCTTCCACGATGTATGGACTGTGTCGCCTGTCGTATCAGCTTTAAAGTAAGTTTTGCTGCCACATCAGCATTTAGTTTTGTTCAATAAATAATAATTTATTTCCACTATCGAGTCCTCCCGTTTTCCTGCGCGTGGGTTCGAACCTTAAACTGTAGATCATGATACACATACATACATATATAAAGTTTGAATTGAATGTACAATTACAACATGCATGTATTTACTGGTTATGTGCATAATTGCAACTTCTTGGGTCCGACACTTATTTCTAATAAAAGAAGCTTTGGCATCTGTTCCAAATTTTATTAGAGGCAATAACATGGACAGACTCCTTACTGCAGGAAAAGGGAGGCGAGGTGTCCTGGTTTAGCACTGGTGACGCAGCATATCTCCTCCTGGTGAAGCACAGGAACTACAACCATGACTTTAAAACTCTGCCCAACAGCAGTGCAGGATAATGTGATGGAGCTGCATTAAAACAGGGAAACACTGCAAGGGTTTCTGTCTAAAGCAGCTAATTCAACTGGGCTTTTTTTTACATCTTGAACTGTGTGCTGCAAAAATGGTTTAATCCTGCTGCTTCTTTTTTTTTTAAATTAATATTGTTTATGAGTTTGTCTTGTGTTCTGACATTGCGGATAAGCTGAGATGCAAACATACTTTGGTGATTTTGGTCAAGCCAAAATGGTGAAACTGTTATCGTGACATGTGTGAGCATTACGACTACATGTTGAGGATGACCACAACATCCATCCACATTCCAGAGCATATCTGTAAAATTGACTGATCTGAAGCTACATTTGTGTTTTCTAAAATCAGTTGGCTGTAGCGGCCATCTTAAATCTGGCTTGCTCCAAAAGCAAAAAACTTTTGCAAAAGTACTTCCCCTGATTATCACCTGGGAATTTCATTAAAATCCATTTTATGGTTCACACATTATTTTGCTAACAGACAGATGACGTCACATGGTTTATGACAAACTTTTACAAAATGATCTTGTGCAATTGTGTTAGCATTCAAAATATATGTTGAGGGGGATCAGTCTCCACTACTACCACGTCTAAACTTGTGTCAATGTCTTTAAACATGACTGAATTATAGCCATTTTTGATATATTAAGTTTTTTAATATAAGCTGACTGTGGCAGCCATCATGAACTGAGATAACGCCCAGAGGTAATCAGTTGTAGATATCCATCCATTGATTATTTTCTGGTACCTTCATTAATATTTCTGTCATGGGTCATGATATATTTTGCTAACAGAAAGACAAAAGCACATATTTTCACAGACGTGGGCAAAAAAATTTATTTTTTTGATGGTTTGTGATGAACAGTTTACAAAGTATATTGATGCTTTAAGAAGGTACATTTTAGTCCTATTTTAATCAGTACCTGTTTTTTTTTATACTCTTGTTTTTCATCTTGCTGCTGTGTTGAGTTTCATAGAAGAGATGAACGATCTCTCATCTGCAGCACAGATATCCCTGGGGTTCAGTTACACCTATAGCTGCTGATCAGCACTTTCTCTTCTTGCCTGACTCGTGAATCTGTGCATGTGTGCAGTGGTTCTGCAACATCTGCTCAGAATGCATTTAGCTGTTTTCCAGTCGCGTGCAGTCAGTTTAAAGCACGTTAGTTTCTCTATGTGCAGCAACGTCGTGTTTGCTGCATGTTAAAGTGCAGCAGGAGGTGGGAAACCTCAGAGGGAGCTGTATGGACTCTGCTGCACGCTGAGTCATCAGGAGCAGATCACAGAAACTCCCCGTGGACATTTTTTCCCGCTCTAACAGCAGGCTGACAATCTGCACCGGGGCGATTTGTGGCAGACGAGATGCTTACAAGACCTGGGGGCGACGAAACAGCGAGAGCCGATCATTAAAATGTCTTTCAGAACAAATTAAATCACCTACAGTGGTAATGTCAGGGTGGGTCCTTGTTTTATTTGCAGGGACGAGAGATAAAAACCCAACATCAACACATTAATTACTGTAATTTCTGGACTATTGAGCGCACCCGAATATAAGCCGCGCCCACTAAATAAATAAAATACAATTGTGTGCATGTATTGGCTACACTTGCAAATAAGCTGCATGTATCCACGTTATAACATGAAATATTTACACAGAAATAAAAAAAGTTTCAATTAAACATGAAAAAAAAAATACGTACAGTAAATGTTTGTTTTATGAACAGTGCCTGTAACATGGCTGGTTAAAATAAATAAATACAGTAGCCTACCAGGAAATGCCTAGTTTAGCTCCATTTCCTTCTTCAACAGCCAGATCGATGGCCTTTAACTTGAAAGCTGCATCATGTATTTGTGTTTTCCATTATGAGCATGAAGTGCAAAATAACTGATCTGAAGAACTTAGTGAGAGTGCGTTTGATTTACGGTAATTTTGAAGTTTCATTGGCCAGATTTTTTGGAACCTTTTATTAATACATATATTCCCATTGAGTTATGAGGACCCCCCCCACACACACACACACACACACACGGCAGATGTGTATTGAGCAGCTATGTGAGCACTCAGGAGTGACAAAGCTAAATGTTTTGGTGACAAGAAGCTCGTTAGCTCGTCCAAAAAAAAAAAAAAAATCCATAAATTAGCCACAGCATAATATAAGCTGTGGGGTACAAAACCCAAGAAAAAAGTAGCAGCTTATATTCTGGAAATTGTTGTACATAATCTATATTAAAAAGATGAGTTTAAAGTGAAAACTAAATATAACAAAAGTCATGATCACAAAAGTTTGGAAGGTCTTAAAAACTGAATGAGGCAAAATTATACTTGCAATTTTTTTTATAATCTTCCAGCATGATTTTAAAATATCTGGTGGAAACCAGAAGTCCCTCTAACTGGGTCTGTTTTTGAGTTTTTATGTCTTTATGTGGATGAAAATTTGTGATTGTGAGAAAAAAAAAGAACACTCTACGAATGTTAGTCATCTATGAATGACATTTTCCTCAAATTATCTGATAACCTCTAATAAAGATAAATGCATATACACAGACTGCTGCAGTGAATGCATGAGCACAACAAAACCTAGAAATATGAATTTGAAATGAATTATTTAAAATGTTTCATCAGGATGAAGAACTCTGACATCCAGACTTGTATTGTTGCTCTGTTTAGAACTGCAAAAAAAATTATTCCAATATAAAATAAAAATATGGTTCTCTTGATATGGTCAATTTAAATAAATACATTTTGAATCATTTGAGATGTTCATTAAACCTGAGAGGAAGGCAAACGGCGAGCAGCTGCTTTGTCACCAGTTTTGTTGGAAAATATTTTATCCTCATTTAACTGTATAAAAAAAAAAAAAAGTACAAAAAAGGTGGTTTTATTTTGTTTTCAGCATCATTCCTGCCTATTTCTGATCACACCTCAGTTCAAACCAAAGCCAAGGTCATGATGGAAGTTGGCATAACTCCTAAACTCCCATTAATGTTCTATTCTTGGACTGATCTTGGATCAGTTTTTGTAATCATAATTGCAGCATAGAGGACATGAGACTCAGAGGCTCATTTTTCATCCTTCATTTTTGGACTGCAGGTTTTACTGCCCTCTTTGATTTTTAGAGATTAATTTCATGAACATAGTTAATGAAAATGTACCTATTCTTATAGCTTTATGGCAGATGTTTTGCTGTATTCATTAGCATTTATCTGATAAGGTGAGAATAACTATTTAATTATTAACCTTCCAATAAGAAAAAAAGTAGTTTTGTTGCCATGTTCAGATTGCATCAGTTTAATATTTTGGTATTTTTCAAATAAAACAGATTTTTAAGTCTTTATGAAGCAATGAATAACAAAGACTAGTGTCAAAATCATGTATATGTAGTACAAGACTGACCTCTAGTGGTTATAGTCTGTAATAACATCTTACGGAATGGTTTCATGTTTGGAAGCACCCCAAGATCTGGGTATTCGTTTTATTCAGAACATACTTTTGTCCTATAAAGATTGACCTGTGCTGTTTATTTTAGAAGTGTAAAGAACAACTAAAAGTAGCAGCAACTCATGTTTTCAGTTGTGTCTTGTTTTCATGCTCAGACTGGTATTTACACTGAAAGGGTGCACGCCTTCATTGTTCATTTGGCTGTTATTGCACCTGTTAGACAACATACCGACACCAGATTCCTCTGCTTTCATGCAGACACATAGTACTAAGCAGCTGCATGATGATAAACAGCTTGATTTAAAATATATGTATATTCATGTCAAATATTTGTTGTGGAGCAAGTTTTGAGGATATCCACCTTTAGCATGAACCTTCTCTTTGCAGCCAACTCTGCTCTTTACACTTTTGTTACAAAGAGCTCAGTTTAAAAGTCATGTTGCTATTTTGGTTTGTCCATGACCTCTGGCCTTCCCAGTCTGCCCCACGAGCCCAGCCAAGGCCTGGTTCTATTGGACTGTCTTGTGTGTCCATCAGACATTGGAAGCCTCTCACAGGTGGAAAATAAACAGGCCTGTCTGCTCTTACAGCTGCTATAAAAAGTGTTTTTAGGCTGCGCGAGGCTCACTGTTGGTCAGCCAGTGTGTGAGAGCAGCTTAGAAGGGCTGGGAGCTCTGTGTCTGGTTTAAACGCAACTTTGGGAGAAGCTTTGGGGAAATGGCTGGCGTTCATCGCTTGGTTATCGTCCGACACGGAGAGAGCTCCTGGAACCAAGAGAACCGCTTCTGTGGCTGGTTTGACGCTGACCTCAGTGAGAAGGGCTTGGAGGAGGCCAAGCGTGGAGCGCAGGCCATCAAAGAGGCGGGCATTAAGTTTGACGTGTGCTACACCTCTGTGCTCAAACGGGCCATCAAGACCCTGTGGACCATCATGGAGGGCACGGACCAGATGTGGCTGCCTGTGATCCGTACCTGGCGCCTGAACGAACGTCACTACGGAGGCCTTACCGGCCTCAACAAGGCAGAGACGGCCGAAAAGCACGGCGAGGAGCAGGTGAAGATCTGGCGCCGTTCCTTCGATATCCCACCTCCGCCTATGGATCAGGACCACCCTTACAACAAAATCATCAGTGAGGTAAGATGAACAACGCTCAGTAGAACAAGCTGTTGGTTCAGTCGTAGCAAGAGCGTAACTGAAACGTTGTATTCTACCACCAGTCTCGACGTTACAAGGGCCTGAAGCCCGGTGAGCTTCCTACCTGTGAGTCCCTGAAGGACACCATCGCGCGTGCGCTGCCTTTCTGGAACGACGTCATCGCTCCTGAAATCAAAGCAGGGAAGAACGTTATCATCGCAGCTCACGGCAACAGCCTCCGTGGAATCGTTAAACACTTGGAGGGTAAGCGTTACAACCAGCAGACCGACAAAACTTAAAAAAAGTCTGTTTTAAAAAAAGGTTAATGATAGCCTGGTCAGGATTGAAGTCGTGTTCTGTCATTAATGAGTACTTTATAACGCATGGAGTATTCAAAAAGGGCAGAAATTATCTAATTTGGACCAATGACTAGTCAAATGAGAGCATATTAGTTTGTCACTGTTTTCTCAACTGAATAACCCCCATGTTATGCAATATATTAACCACCCCGATATGTCATTGTGTTAGAAAAAAAATGTTCCGATTAATATAAAAATGTGCTCCCATTTGGTCAACCATTAGTCCAGCCTGGACAACGTCTTCTGCATGACGGAACATTGCTTCAGAAATGGTCTGATTAGTTCTATAGGGCAAGAAGTCTAGAAATATTTGTTTTAAAGCAACCTTGGCTGTATTTGCATACATGGAAGAATGTGAATGATCAGTCAAACACTTGTGACATTCCACTCCATATAAATAGTCTGCAAAGACTCGTGCAGCAGAGCTCAGGGCAAAGGGTTGTGAGCGTGGTTCCTGTTACAGTCGCGACCTTTATGTAGAAAGGTCGTACTTATTCACGGACTGGTCAGACAGGAATATGGGATTTACATTCACTGAGTGGTTTTAAAGGTCAGGCAGAGAAAGTGGGAGGGGTGTCAGGGTAAAAGAGAAACAAGCGCATTGAAGGAACAGTTGTGAACTGTTACTATCTTACCTGTGGTGGATAGCTCTTTGGATTACTTCAGATTAAGCTATAGTTAATTTCTGATCAGGCTGACAAGCATAGATATATTCTGAGCATGATAAAGCCCAGAGCAGATTACTGCATCCTAAAAACAAGCCCAGCATCAAAGATTTTAAAATAGTTTATGCAAATGCTAATTTAGCCATCATTAAATTCACAGTATAGTTGTTTTAATAGAAATATTTGTGTGTTGAAAAATTTACAGCTAGCTGCTGCCACTTTAGAATAACCACATATTTCAATGTAAATAATGTTGCATTGCAAAATAGTCAACAATATAAAGGTTTAAAGAATGGTGGTTGCATGAACCAATATAAACAATATGCATTTTTTTTTCAGATTTGAACTATTTCATGATGACAGCAATGCACTTTAGTGTTGGCCTTTCTCAGGCTAGCAGCGTAACAAATAAACACAAACAATAAAATTGGTATCCTGATACATGCTTGGTAGTTGGCCTTCGCTTGGTTCTTGCTTGTGGAAGGCAAAGCTCTAAAATCACATCAGTGGGGATACTGGTGCTGGTCATAAAATTAGAACATCATAAAAAAGTTTATTTCAGTAATTCCATTCAAAAAGTGAAACTTGAATAATATATTCATTCATTACACACAGACTGATATATTTCAAATGTTTATTTTTTTAATGTTGATGATTATAATTGACATCTAATGAAAACCCCAAATTCAGTATTTCAGAAAATTAGAATATTGTGAAAAGGTTCAATACTGAAGACACGAGGTGCCACACTAATCAGCTAATTAACTCAAAGCATCTGCAAATGGTCTCTCAGTCTGGTTCTGTAGGCTACACAATCATGGGGAAGACTGCTGAAATGACAGTTGTCCAAAATACGACCATTGGCACCTTGCACAAGGAGGGCAAGACACAAACGGCCATTGCTAAAGAGGCTGGCTGCGCACAAAGCTCTGTGTCCAAGCACATTAATGGCGAGGCAAAGGGATGGAAATGATGTGGTAGAGAAAAAGCGTACAAGCAATAGGGATAACTGCACCCTGGCAAGAATGGCGAAACAAAACCCATTCCAAAATGTGGGAGAAATTCAAAAAGGGTGGACTGCATCTGGAGTCAGTGCTCCAAGAACCACCACGCACAGAAATATGCAAGACAAGGGTTTCAGCTGTCGCATTCCTTGTGTCAAGCCACTCTTGAACAAGAGACAGCGTCAGAAGCGTCTTGCCTGGGGCTGCTGCTGAGTGGTCCAAAGTTATGTTCTCTGATTCAAGTAAATTTTGCATTTCCTTTGGAAATCAAGGTCCCAGAGTCTGGAGGAAGAGAGGAGTTGGCCCACTGTGTTTTCTGAGGTCCAAAGTCAATGCAGACATCTAGCAGGAAGTTTTAGAGAACTTCTTGCTTCCTGCTGCTGACCAACTTTATGGAGATGCAGATTTCGTTTTCCAACAGGACTTGGCACCTGCACACAGTGACAAAGTTACCAGTACCTGGTTTAAGGACCATGGTATTCCTGTTCTTAATTGGCCAGTAAACTCTCCTGAACTTAACCCCATAGAAAATCTATGGGGTATTGTGAAGAGGAAGATGTGATAAACCAGACCCAACAATTCAGAAGAGCTGAAGGTCACTATCAGAGCAACCTGGGCTCTCATAACACCTGAGCAGTGCCACAGACTGATCGACTCCATGCCACGCTGCATTGCTGCAGTAATCCAGGAAAAAGGAGCCCCAACTAAGTACTGAGTGCTGTACATGCTCATACATTTCATATTCATACTTTCGATTGGCCAACATTTCTAAAACCCCTTTTTTTTTTAATTGGTCTTAAATAATAATCTAATTTTCTGAGATACTGAATTTGAGTTTTTCATTAGTTGTCAGTTATAATCATCAATATTAAAAGAAATGAACATTTGAAATATATCAGTCTGTGTGTAATGAATGAATATAATATAAAAAGTTTCACTTTTTGAATGGAATTACTGAAATAAATCAACTTTTTCATGATATTCTAATTTTATGACCAGCACCTGTATTTACATGTAAACAAATCATCAAATGAGTTTAAAGATAAACAATTTTAGGAACTTAATGGCAAAAATAGTGATTATATTGAAGGATATTTAACAGAATGAAAGTAGACTGAAATCATTTTTACTTTGGGTGGTATGTTTTGTCGTTGCTTCTTGTGTAAATGTAGGGCTCTAACAGTAACGTAATTACACCAGTTTGATTCACTGGTCCTCCTTTGTCTCGTCCAGGCATGTCTGACGCAGCCATCATGGAGCTGAACCTCCCCACAGGAATCCCAATCGTGTACGAGCTGGATGCAGACCTGAAACCGGTCAAGCCCATGTCTTTCCTCGGCGATGAAGAAACTGTAAAGAAGGCCATGGAGGCCGTGGCTGCCCAGGGCAAAGTCAAGAAGTAAACCAACCTGCCTTGGAGTGCTCCATGAACGGGCAGATAGAGACTTGTACCCCTTTATTCTTCTCGCTTTACCTCTAAGTGCCCATCCTCATATTTCATTCCAAATGGGGAAATGGTTAATGGTTTTTTGGGAGAAGAGCCAGGCCCCGCATTTTACGCAGTCGCACATCACTCAGACCTTTTAAATTGTGGTCGAGCCCTACTTTGTAGAGCTCGCCGCTCACAACCAATAAAGAAGTCATGTTTTTACGTGTGGGCCTGTGCCTGGTTCATTTTTCTCCGTGTCCACTCACATCCCTTACTCTGGTTTTTCTTTCGTTCCAAAAACACACCGTCATCTTTATTTCATGCACCCACTCTTCTTCAGCACTCATTTAGAAATCAGTGGTTTCAGCGAAGTGCAAAGGTGCTGTGAAATCTAATCCTGGTGGAGCAGAGAGGAGGAGGCGATGGAGAGAGAGAGGGAGAGAGATGCAGTCTGGAGGAGAAGTCAGTGGGTTCATCCTGGCAGCACTCCCCTGATGCAGGAAACAGTCTGCTGGCTCGTCACTGTAATCAGACCACAATAAGAAATACGCAAACATAAACTAGATATCATACAAAAAGTAACACCTGATCTGTGCTTGTATAAACTTAGACAAGTGACAATGGAGAATAAAAACGAGTGCAGATGATCCACATATTGGATGTAAACCAATAACTGATTACCTTTTAATTCAACATTGCTGACACAGCTAATCAACTTTAGTCCACACAACCCACGTCCGTGTAAAATATATATAAAGCTAAGCTGAAATCTGGTGTGGTAGTAGCTGGGAGTCCTCATCACATACCAACAGATCTCGTGACATATCGACACTGTGCAGAACATTATTTAGAAGGTTTGATAAAATGGCATCAGCTCCATAGTTTATCACAAAATGTTCTTTGGTAAACTTGTGAAAAGGTGGAGGGTGATATGCATTCAAGTGTAGAAATGTTCCGCAGATGTTGGACGATGCTTCTATGTGAAACGAGAATTACTGGCGAGCATGGAAGTAGTTGAGAATTAAAAGCCGAGTGCTCCAAGAAGGTGGGCCTGTGATCAAGAGGTCGCTGGTTCAAATCCATTACAAGAAAACATTCAGTGGGAAAGGAAAGGTGATTCATATCATCTGCCTCCACCCTCATTTGCACCACTCTGGGCCCTTGAGCAAGAACCCCTCCCCACTAATCTGCTACCACAGCTCAGTGGTCGTCAAGAATGGCATCCTGGGTAAAAACGATTGCAAAATCCTCATGCGAGTTCACTCACTGCAGTGACCCTTAAATAGGCGATAAAACGATAAAACATTTGTATCAATCTTTATTCATGTAAACATAAAAAAGCCGTTTCACTGCTGCAAATGGCAGAGGTGGTATAGCACAATGGGTCAGTGGTTAGCATCATTGCCTCACAGCAAGAAGGTCCTGGGTTCAATCCCTGGTTGGACATGGGGTCTTTCTGCGTGGGTTTTCTCCGGGTACTCTAGTTTCCTCCCATAGTACAAAAACATGCATGTTAGGCTGCGTTCAAGCCCAGGTCTCCCTTGTAAAGAGATCTGTGATCTCAGTGGGATTTACCGGGTTAAATAACAGTTAATAAATAGTTGAACTCCTGGAATACAAGTCATCATACAGGGACATTGCTTCCCTGCAACAGATTTTCTTGTTCAACTTAGACCTCGTATTTTTTTTAAGGCATTTGTTTTTTTTATTTGATTTTTAAACTGTTAAAAGCAATGTTTATATTCAATATCGAAGACGTCCTGCTGATTCAACTGGCTTGGGGGAAATTAAAAACACACCAACAAAAGATCAGAATCTCTGGGATACTCGTTAGTATCAATAAACAAGTCAACATGTATTTCAGCCAGTTTCAGAGGACTTTCTGCAAGACAATGCACCACATACAGATGCTAAAAGCAAATTTAATTGCTGTTAGCTAGCCCTTACACTCAATTAAGCATTAAAATAAGTCCAAATGGCTTTATGCTCCACTATTCATAGTTTACACCTGCATTAAAACAGTTCTATGAAAAATGCAAACTTACAAGAGAATAAAAGTGCTTACTTAAAAAGTACGTTTGTGTTTTTTTTGCTTACAACTGTTTTTTGATAAAACACTGAATCATGTATGGCGACATTTACAAAATGTTTCTTTGACATGGTTAGAAATGTATATTTAGTTTAATACCATGCAATATTACATTAGGATTGTTAAAAAGAAAGACGCACAGAAAAACAAAATTCATACAAGTGTGAATATGTGGCCTCATATTGCAACAGTGCCACCTGCTGGTTAACAGAGATCATACTATTAAAATCAAACATGTTCAACTAAATCTAAGTACAAATGTAAGTATAAATCTAAATCCAAGTATTGAAAAAATGACCAACTATGCTAAGTAGAAGCCCTAAAATCTAAATAAACTTTGACTAAATGGTTTTATGTTCCAGTATTTCCTTATCATTTGGTATAAATGCCCATTGAACAGCCACAGTCGGTCATATTGTAACGCTGTATTTCACATTTCCTGTTCGAGGTAAAAACAACAGCTTTATCTCCATCCTTCTAAAATAGGTTCATAAAGGTAACAAACAATATAAATTAGTAAGAAATGTTTCCCAAACAGCAGAGGCTTTGAAATGAATCAGAAATGTTTGGTTCTGCCCGTGTTCTTCCAGGTCCAGCAGCTCAGTCAAGGCTTTAACGGAGGTGGAGTTTCATTTTTTGTAGTTTTAGGACTGGATTGTTTCCTGAAGGGCTTGAAAACCTTTGGAAGAGACACCACCTTGTAAGGGTTTTTCTTGTAAGAAACTGCTTTTTGGGTTTCTTCTTTGGACTCGACCACATACTCCGCAGCACTTGTGACATTCTTTTCTATGTTGTTGATCAACTCCCCCTGGTGGAAAGAAAACAGAATTATCACAAATTACGTTGAGAGTTCGGTTTTTCCAATCACATCTGTACTCATGAAGATAATTTATACTGAAAATATATTTTTTTACCTGAATTTCCAACAGCGTGGCCGTGTCAGCAAATATCTCATGCAGCTCTTTGATGCTGCATTCGAGGCTGACGATGTCCTGGTGACGACTTTCAATCTCAGTCAGAGCCTGACTTGAGACGCGTGTGTCAGAGGTAATCTTTAAAGTGCAATAAAAACACTTTAATCATCATTTGTTACTAAACAATCCATACAAATCTGATTGATGCAACTAATTATAGATTATATTTTTGGATGCAAAGCAGAACGTTTACCAACATCAGATATGAAGATGGTCAGATTGTCCCTTTGCAGCATCTCCTCCAGTTCATCATCTGTTGTCACTTTATCCACTGAAAGAGACAAATTAATTTAACTATTGAAGATGAGCTGAGATTAATGATCTGTAAACAAGACAAATAGAAAATTGCATTTCCTATGAAAATGCAGTGTGAATGCTTATTGCAGAAAAACTTGCTGAAAAACAGCTAAAATTATCTAAAAAAAAAAAGTTCTCTCTCTCTCTCTCTCTCTCTCTCTCATATATATATAAAATTCTAGCTGAAATGAAGAACTATCCTAAAGTAGCAGAAGAAGGCAGAAAGAACATGTTAGTTGAATTAGATTTAAATAAGCAGAAATGAGCACATAAATTAGGAAATCAGCTAAAAAAAAAATTGCTGAAAAGTAACTGAAAAGGCAAAAAGAAGCTTAAAATTCCAGAAGGAAGTGGAAAAAATTGAAATTAACTAAACAAATGTGGAAATAGCTGAAAAAGCTAAAATTAGCATAGAAAAGCTAAATAGTAGCTGAAAGAGCAGAAAAAGGTTAAAGGAGCAAAACAATCTGAACTTGGCATAAATAAGTTAATTAGGCTGAAAGTAGCAGAAAATTAAATGAAAAACTTGAATTTATCTGAAAACAGCTGAAATTAGCTAAAATGTTTAAAAGGTAGCTGAAAATGTAGAACAAGCTGAAATCAGCATAAGAAAGCTGAAAGAGCAAAGTTTCCCAATTAAGGTGAAAAACGCCAAAATGAGCACAAAAAAGTGGAAATAATCTGAAAATGCTGAAATGAGTGAAAAACAGCTGAAAAGTAGCTAAAACAGCAGAAAGTAGCTTACATTACCAGATGGAAATGAAGAGAGCACATTTTTGCTGAATTAGGCTGAAAAAAGTTTGAATAAATGCAAAAAATCTGGAATTAGCTGAAAAAGCTAAAATTAGCATAAAAACAGCTAAATAGTAGCTGAAATAGCAGAAAATGCTGAAATTTACAGAGATGAGCTGAAAGGAGCACAGCAAGCTGAAATTAGCAGAAATACATTAGACGAAGCACCAAAATAGTGTAGTTAGCAGAAATAATCTGAAAGGAACACAAAACAGCTGAAATTAGTTGAAAGCAGCTGAAAAACAAGTTTAAATTTGCACAAGGAAGCTGAAAGAAGTTCAACCAGAACAAAATATGAAAGGAGCAATCCAAGGTTGTAAACAGATCAAAAGATTTGAAGGATGTAAAATGAGCTCAATTCATTTCTTAGAGGAAAAAAAAAAGTGTCAAAAGGCTAAATATTTCAAAAAGCTAAAGTTGCACCAATACAAAAAGTCATAGCACCCTTCTCCTGAACGAGCTGAATGTTTTGATTTATGATTTTTTAAAATAGCACAAAAATGTGGAACGAGAAAGATGCCGAAAGATATACGGGGGGAAAAAATAAATAAATAAAAGGACCACAATAGTGTGAATACTTCATAAACATTCACACAACAATAAAAACAGGATATGTGACACAGCCATTTACAGACAGAAGACCATTCAGGACAAAGTAGAAGCTTTATTCAAATACAGTTCAAATATACGTGTAATACCGGAGTGACTTCAGCTAGACTGCAGCACAATCCGCCTGATTCAACCCACAACAATCGTGTGAACATGTTACACAGAAAGAACCTCAGAGTTCACACGATAAATCAACAACTAGGCTTTAAAACACACAAAGCAGTAGACTTAAGTAATTTCTGGTTTTAAATAAACTAGTGGTATTTTACTATAAAAATTTCTATTTCAGCAAATGTGTGTAGTTGTGGATTACCAGACAAAATGAAAACTAATGCAGAGCTACAGCCAGACAATATAACTAACATTTGAACTCGAGTTAAACAAGAGACCATTAAAAAAAAAAAAAAAAAGACTATAAACTCTGCAAAGTTAACACCAATCTCCTCTGACCTAGAACTTCAACGCTCTTCAGAGTGAAGTTATCCAATTCTTCTTAAATTACGGTTTCTGAACCCTTGACAAGAGACTTTCTTTTTCCTGTCTGTATACCCCCCCTCTCTCCTGATGTATAAACTCTGAGCTCAGAGGATGGGGGGTATGTATGGGGGTATGTATGGGCGGTATGTATGGGCAGTATGTATGGGGGTATGTATGGGGGTATGTATGGGCGGTATGTATGGGCGGTATGTATGGGGGTATGTATGGGGGTATGTATGGGCGGTATGTATGGGCGGTATGTATGGGCGGTATGTATGGGCGGTATGTATGGGCAGTATGTATGGGGGGTATGTATGGGGGGTATGCGTCAGCGTCTGACAGAAACAAGGCTCCCACTGAATTTGAAGCAGGTTGTTCTCGGTAGTCTCAACTTAAGACGTCTCACGTGAGATGACATGCAAGGCATCAAGAATATTCAAGTTATCAGCCTGACTTTTTTGAAGAACGTTGTGTTAGTCAATGAAATGATGTAAAATTAAAACATTTCCTCTATGATTTGCTGGTTATCTGAACATAAAAGCATCATCTCAGCTGTTTGGAGAATTAAAAGTGTTTAGATTTATTGTTCGAATACAATTACTGTGGTGTTTATTATGTTGCTTTAACACATAACTGTTCATTCACAGATCACTGAAATTATAATCGGGGAAAATATGCTTAAGATTTGTTTAAAACGGGTTTTCAGCAACTCACCGATCTCCAGCTGTCTCTGAATTTTCGCTTTGCATTTTTCTCGAAAGGAGACCTGAGCCTTATGGTGACCCCTCATGACTTCAGCAAACCAGCGGGTCAGGTGTGAGTGCTGGTAGGAGAGAGTCAGCAGAATTTCTAATCAAATTATTGAGCCAAGGAAAATAACCCAGCCATTTAAACATCAAGAGACAGAACAGTTTGACAGATTTGCAGCAGCATTGTGAGTGTATTTCTGAACTGCATGATGGTTGAATATTCAAACTGCACAACTTGTCTCTGTGGCTCTGCTGCAGAAACTAGTACCTGCTGATTTCTACAAAGCAATTTGTTAGCTATAGCCTCAACCACAGTGTACTCCATGGTTGATATGATTTGAAAGGCAAAGACCAGTGACTAAGGGTAACTTGAGACAAGTTGCATGCAATGGTTAAAAAAAACAAAACAAACAAAAAAAACATATCCGGTACTTTTATTTAGTCGTGCATAACGCTAACAGCTTGCTCCTTGAAAACTTAGTGAGGTATTGAGAAACACCTGAATCATAAAAAAATAAACTAATTTAAAAACTAGAGCACCAACCCCCAACCTTTGGTGCATCATGGACCACTTTCATACAAAACTTTGCCACAGACTTGTAGCGAAAAATGTATTTAGCAAACTTTGTTTTTACCAATTTCTGCAGAAGCTTGTACTAAAGTCCGACCGAGATATTGGTAGGGCTGATATTTTAGGCCAGTATAGGCATTTGGGAACCCATCGGTATTTGTGATAATTGGCCATTGTGCGCCAATAAACATTTCTAATTTTCACCCATAAAATGTTGGGAACGAGCCGTGTCCTTACTTGCATATGGAGTAATTGTACAACCTATCCAGCAGAGGGTGCATGAAGACTATTTTCAAGTCATGGCCATGCTGCAAATGACACGTCACAGCCGAAGCAGGGAACTAAATACTGTGTAGCCTATTTTGCTGAACAGAGCATGGTAAAGTTTATTGTAACTGATCTGTAAAATTTAATATATATATATATATATATATATATCTTTAATCCTCCAACCCATTTGTCATTAGCTGTGCCTCTCAAGTTAGCAAGGTAATGTTTAGATAATCTGGCATTGACAAGTGCCTTGTACAACTTGATCCTAAACAATGAATCTAATGCAGTGGTAAAATATATATCAGTGTTAGTTAGGCCTGTCACGATAACAAATTTTGCTGGGCGATTAATTGTCTCAGAAATTATTGCGATAAATGATAATGTTGGAAATTTGACAATAATTAGTAATTATTGTGAAATTTAAAAAGACATGTTTTGTGTGTAGTACCTTTTTTCAATCACTGGATGGCAGAAAAACACTGAACTGAAGGATGGATAGTGAGGGAGCGAGCAGCGTGTCTCTTTAAGAAAAATGAGAGGGAGGCCCCTTGACATGACACGGGCTGTCTCTCTTCAGTTCTCAAAATGTCAATTGCTCGGTGTGGTTTGAGCTCTTTAGCATAGCACTTTTCACACAAAGCTATTAATAATGTTTTATTTTTTATTAAATCCGTAAACAAGTTCTCAGCTTCTTTTTGTAGAGAAAAAAAAAAACTTTTTACATGAAGGCACAGGTTCCAACCATGAATTATGGAGCTTCGACAAGACAGAGGGTTTTTTTCCCCCCCCCAAGGTCAGCCTGTTAGCTTAGCTCGTAGCTTAGCTGATTTTAATGAACCAAAAATGCAATTTTAGATGGTTAAAACAGATTTTAAAGAGACAAGAGTAAGGGAGGGGGCAGGGAAGAACAGAGTTGAGCTTTTTGTCATCCAGTGTCTTCAGAAAGAGAAAGACACGAAGAAACGATAAAGCCGATAAATGAAAATGAGGTTGATAATTTTAATTTATCATGAAATTAACTGAATAATTGTTTATCGCGACAGGCCTAGTGTTAGTAGCATTATCTTTGTTGTCATCAATGAAATGCATCGTTCAAAATATTTACTTCTCTGCAAAGAAAAAAAAAACAATGTCGATGTGGTCAACACTAATTAGACCTTCACCTTAGGTGACTAACTGTTTAAACGATGAACAGGGAAGGGCGTTTGTTTAATGTATATTTTTGTAACACACTTAACTTTATGGTGAATAGTGGAGGATAGAAAACGATAGGAAGACTGCTTCAAAACTTAAAGTGTTAAAACGGGTTTAAAAGTAGTAGTTACAGACCTGATTCCTCTGAATACGATGGATTACTGAGACACACGTACTGTTGTCATCTGCTGGCAAGTTTATCTGCATTACTGAAAATGCACAAAGCAGATCGAATATAAATGCAAAGTACCAAATAACTCAAAAATATCATATAGTAAAACTGTTATGTAATCTGCACTAGGCAAAGTTGAGTAAAATGAGCAAAATGTTCAGAGACTTGTATTTATTTAGATTTTTAAACAGCTGATGAGCAGCAGCAACATTCTGTATTTCCCCTTTTAAGCATTTGCAAATCAAATCGTGCTTTACAAGCTCCTAGCTGCACAACTGATATTTGAGGAAGTCTGACGTGCTTCACTGTTGCACCTCTTTGTCTAAAACCACCATAAACAAGGGCAGATATGACTACATTTACCATTTATTAAAACCAATTAAAAAAAAAACCAGTTTGCTCCACCTACATTTTAACATGGCTCTGACCAGGTTGGCGTTTGTTTTGGTCTCGTTGTTCAGCAGCTCCAGCTTACCTTTGTTTTCTGAAAACAAAACATTAAGTTTACTTCGGAGAAGACAAGTTTAGTTAACAGAGTGGAAGTTAAACGTGGCACCAAAAGGTTTATGGTAATTGTGTTGCCTTAATGACTAAATGAGAGATTCAAGCTTAGTCCAGATTTTCAAATGTGACTGTTTTTCCAACTTAAATTATCAGATTATTTTTGCTCAAAGGTTATGCCATATATGCCACATCTATTACGCATCACCGCTGACAACCCGGAAATGTGGACCGGTGTGCCAAAAATCGATTGGATGCCAAATAGGAGCATGCACGGGAGGACTTTAACAAGAATTTATCAAGACTAACAATTAAAAACAATTATTTGTTTGCTTGAACTTATAGTAAAGGTGTGTTTCAGTCTAACTTTTCCTTAATAAATGCACTTCAATGGTCAAATTAGCTGCATTTCATCGGGGTGACGCAGCAAAATTAAGATGATTTTGCTCCAGGCGAGCTGGACGAAGGTGGCAGGCTAAGGCAAGCCGATTGTGTCATTAATAGACACAACGGCATGCCATACTACTCGAGTGCCATCTAGCGGCTGAAAATGGTAGTGTTAAATATTTTCAGTCAGAATGAATGAAAACCGTCATATCTCAGCCAAAAATCAGTTTATAAATATGGGAAAAAAATCCATAAATACGTTGAGCTTATAAGTTGCAGGGCATGCATAACATATAGGCCGAAAAATACGGTAAGTTTAGAAATGTTTATGTACGCAACATGTCCTGAAATATGACCTTGCATGTAAAATGCTACATATAAATCTTCATCTGCCGTAAAATGTGGTTCTTTTGAGTCAACATCAGAGAACGAGAGAATTGCTCCAATACCATGACAAACTCCATACAACACAACACAAGCCCTTTATAAACAATTGTATATTTGTCAAGGGCTGTTGAGCATTTTTCTGTTTCTGTTGCTCTGTTTGGTTTATGCATCCCTAAAGAACAGACAAATATTTAAAAAGGTTTCAGGACAACGAAGGAGAAATCCAGTCTTTACACAATCTAGATCAGTGAGACCCAACCCTGATCCCTGAGGAACACCATTCTTCATGTTTGAGTTGTTCCTCTATTCCAACCCGCCTTACGTTCGGCAGAAGCCTGTTAATCACTTTTCATTCAATTCAAGTGTGTTCACAACTACAAATATGCAGGATGGTGTTCCTCAGGGACCAGGGTTGGGAAACATTGATCTAGATCGCACCGGTACCTGAAGTATGTTCCAACAGATATTACCTTTTTCTTGGTTTGAAGAAGAGAGGATGGTGCCTTGTCTCCTCTCCACTTCCTCTGTTTGACAGGAGATTTTTTCAATGAGCCTTCTCACCTCGCCCACCTACACAAACAAATGTATTTACATGAATACACCCTGCAGAACATCTGGTCTGACATTACATCCATGGCATCTTTGTTGTGAGAAATATCAGTTTCCAGTAAAACGGCAATAGTTCAACTGATTAACCATCAAAGTCCATGCTCAATAATTCAGGTATACAATCAACTTGAGCATGGACTTTGTTGTTGGATCAACTGATTAAATGTTGGATGGCAACAACAACCTATCGACATTCTCCAACAAAAAAAGTAGCTATAACTCACAGATACAGAGCTGAAATGTGATGTGGTAGTAGATGAGTCATTCACAACACATTTGCTTAACATCATTCCGAGCTTTGACCAAACATCTATAACTGCATCCTTTCCTTAAGATAATTTTTGTTTAAAACTTTGGCATAAAATGTACCTCGTGTTATGCATTACATACCTACTTTTATTTATTTAGTCTTTTTTTTTTAATCAATGTTTATGACATCATAAACCACATGGGAAGAACAAAGGCTATTTTAACTGTATTTAAACTACCTGAAGATGCTATTTCCATCATGATCATTTATTTTTAACGAGTGCTCTTTAAGTGATACATCATATGAACAAAGCTGCCGGTTTTGAGGACAACAATGGGAACAACATCACGAGATTTTACCGTTTTGAAAAAATCCTCCATGTTTGATGAATGTGTCATAGTATCCAGCTGCTGCAGGTAGGAGAGAAGCATTACTTTGTTTAGTGCACCTATTCCAGATAAACACTTCTTTCTACGTTGGATGCAAATAAAGACCGTTTCAATTTAAAAGATTAGAATCGAAAAACAAAGAAATACACTCCGCAATTAATGCTGTTAAGGCACGACCTCACCTGTTTGCTTTGTCCTCCGGTGAAGTGACGTCATCGAGCGCACCTCTTAAAGGGCGAGGTCACGCATGCGCGTTACCGTCAAACGCTAGTTTGGTTTAAAACAAACAAAAAAAAAAACAAGGCTGAGCTGAGCCACCTGCTTCTGTCACTACAGCCTCCTAGAACAGGCTACAATAAACTTCGCAATAAGTTATCAGTACAAAATGTAAAAAATAAATGGTCAACAAAGCAAGATAATTTACGCAACTTGAAAACTGACCAATCAGACGACTGGGAAAAGTCCCCATCGCCTGTACGTGAACTCACGAGGGACAAAAAGTTGAGTTTGAAGCGATTATGGAGTTGCGTATGTTTAACATTTGCACAATATAGTTTAACATGTACATATTTTTTAAATATCTAGATTTGAATATTACTTTTTTATCTATTTAATGAAATAAATTAGATCCCATTGTGTAATTTACTGAATATACAGAGGCTACTTTCAGTTAGAAGACTTGAAATATATATATATATATA